CCCCTTTATCTTTCAGCCCTTTTGAAAATTAGGAAAAAGCAAGAGGAGCAGCAGCATAAGGTGAAAGGGTTGTCTGCTAGAATAAGGGTAAGTGGCCCATAATCCAACCTCCTCCAAAGACGTGTGTGAAGCAGGCAAGTTCTGTCCTTTCTGAGCCTTTTGCTGTAGAGGTAAAATGAAGAAGCACTTGGACCAGGTGGTTTTTAACGTCTTTTTCAGATTGTCTCCGCCAAGACAAAACCCTCCGTTCCTGTGAAGAAAGTGCTAAATTGCCCTGTGAAGTCTAAATTGGCCTTGGTTACCTGCAGACCTTGAGGTATAAAAATAAGAGCTATTTATTTAAAGGCTCATGAAAGCCTCAGGCACCTATTTTGGTCCTTGTCTCTATAGATAACCCGGCGAATAAAGGAGAAAATGCTAGTGTTCGGAAAGTGCTAAAATTGGTATTAAGCAAAGCAAGCTCATACAAAGGGGATCTCTCCGGGCCTCTTTGGTGTCTGGTGCCCCAACCCTACCTCCGCAGCAGCCGCTGCTACGGAAACGCAAACAGGCGCACAAGCGCAGTTGGGGCTGAGAATGTAACATCAGAGTAACTGCGTATCCCTTCCTCCTCCACCGATAGTAATTCCCCTCCCCTCTCCATTTTTTCCGCCCTCGCACAGGGATTCTTTGCAGCCAGGAAGCGCGGTACTGGGTTTCCCGCGAGTGGGCTGCGGGGAAGGGACTCGGCCCGCGAACGCAGAGGTTCGGTGGAGCCGAGGTCCCAGCAGACCGATGGAAGGGAGGAGCGTGGGGCTGGTTCGGGGCTTCTGCAAACTCGGGAACTAGGAGGAGTGCTCGGGCATCGACGTTACCCTGAGAGCGAGTTTGCGGGGAGGACCCGGCAGCAAGATCCGGGTAAGGGCGGAGCTATGAACTAGCTGGGGCAGGGCTCTGCGTGGCGGGGCCGGAGGAGATGCGGACCGAAGGGGGCGGGTTCCGAGTGTCCGGGCCGGGCTCGGGACCGGTAGGGGCGGGACTCTGAAAGCGGAGGCGGGGCCTAGCGGGGGCGGGGCTCTGAGCGGCTGGGCTGGGGAAGATCAGATTACATCAGATTTTTAAATAATAGCTATTTATTTAAAGGTTCATGAAAGCCTGTATAGACAAACCAGGGTGTGAAGGAGAAAATGCCAGTGTTCGAAAGCGCTAAAGTTGGTATTAAGCAGGGCAAGCCCATGCAAACAACGAGCTCTTCTGGGGCTCCCCTCTCGTGCCTCCACCCTAACCCCCGCCACTGCCGGGCGGGGCTCCAGGCCGGGGCGGGCTCGGACCGGCAGGGGCGCGGCT